CTGTATTAGTCCGCGGGTTCTGCGAGAATCTGACCAACTGCGGTGCGCTGGTCGCGAGCTCGAGGAGCTTCCTGCCCATATAGTTACCATGCAATGTGAGAATATGTGCGCACTGAGACTGTGAGTGCCGCCTTCACGAGGGTGCAGCACGCGTGTTGCGAATAATTTGATTGATCAAGCAAAGGCAAACCGTCTTGGACGAGGGTGAGAGACAGAGATACAGTATACACAAGTTGGGTCCGGATGATGAAAGATGTCGTGGTGTGGGTGCGGAAATGTGGTGTAAGAGGCTTAAATTGTGGTGGGTTCGAGGCCGCAACCTAAATATGAGTAGATTGAGGGAACGACGAGGGCTCTTTGGGAGAGATGCAAAACTGTTACCTATCACGCTACAAAGGCAGTCCTTCACAGAAGTCCAAAATAGTAGAAAGGGTCGATAAAATGTGCAGTCGTCCTTGCTGGAGAATATATTTTGATTCAACAGGTGTGAATAGTAAATTGAGACAGCAATACTCCCGCTACGTCCCTTAGGCTTCCTGAAATCTCAAACATTCTTAGTTACCTGTAGTGTATTACAGTAAACCCACATACAGTTAATTCATGCGGCCGGGACCGCAGCCGCATTGGAAGATGCCGTCGTGTTGGGATCGGGCCCAACGAGGATGAACGTGCCACCAAGGGGGTTTCCCATCTCCAACGTCTCCGCAAACGCACTGATATTGAAGTTGTTCACCGGTGTCGTCGAATTCACCAACGTCTGATTGTTGAAATCTTCCGGCTGAGAGAATAGCAGAAACACGTATCTGTGGTGGACCACGGTCAAAAAACATGCCTGTGGCGGACAGGCCGTTATTACGCACCGGTGAGGGTCGGACCCAGCAGGTGGCGTGGGCTGTCTAAACTCAGAGATCGCAGTCGTGGTGTTCGAGAGCAACGAAAGGCCGTCGGTGCTGCTATTCGAAAGCTCGAAATTTCCGCCCAAGAAATGACGGATCTCGGCACTTGTGGGCGCTTGTGGCGTTGGTGCATCGAGGTCGACCATGGCCACTACGAAGGGTCCAGTTCCGGGATCGAGGATGCTCCCGTTTGCCTGGATGCCAAAGACTGGCGGGATGGCGGTGTCTGTAGATGAAGAATCCAATGATGAATATGTGTGCGGTGAAGGGAGGCTTGCAAGACGGACCGTTACGAGCGAGCTGAACACCGGCTGTTACGTTGATGGGTGCTGCACTGGCTTGTGGGAAAGACACCTCCAAAAGGACGGTAGGGTCGAAGGTGATGGATGCATTTACGGGTATCTGTCGATGAGGAGTGATTGTTAGTCGGACCTAAGTCCTCGAGAAGTGACAGTCATTTGATGTACATACGTTAAATGCGTTGAAGGTTGCCACAACTTCAGCCAAGCTCGTATCTCCGCCACTTGCCGATGCGGCCCCTGGCATGAAGAAAGGGAATGCGAAAAGTGAAGAGATATGCATGTTGAGAGTGTCAAAAGGTTGAAGAGGGTATGCGGATTTTTCAGGATGTTCAGGGCCTTCATATACTCGATTGTCATAGTCTCACAGACGTCATGGGCATGGGCGCGTTCGTGCGGATTCAACTACAAGAAAAACTCAGTCCGATCAGCTGTTTCGGTCATAATGCTGATGAGAACGCCGCGGGGACAACGATTGTTGTGTGGCCCACTCCTCCCATGATGTCATTGAGTGTAAAAAGCAGAGATCCCAGGCAATATCGATGACAATTCGCCTGTATAATGCAAAATAACGGCAACGTCGCTCGGGGCTTTGAGTCGTTCCATAATCGTAATAATGCACATACCAATACATTTGTACACTCCGGTCCATTACCGCAACTGAAGACAAGACACCGCTACTTATATTTCAATACTTGAAGGCCATCAACGGTCTCTTGACCTGGCGTCTCTTCATAAACTCTGAAGGGCGCTTCATCAGCACACGATCGAGCAAAAACGACGAGAGACTCACTTCTTCGTGACCTTCCCTTCGTCCTATCTGTGGTAGTCGCGTTAGATGCAGGTATTGTCGAATTAGAAGCATCTGGCCCGACAAGAATAAATGTTCCCCCGACGGGATCGCCCAGCCCGACTTTAGCAGCGAAAGAGCTGAGGTTGAAGCTCGTTCTCATTGTCGAAGAGTCCAGTATCGTCTGAGCGTCGAATCCATCCGGCTGCGAGAATAGGAGGAACACATATCTGAACAAATTAATCAGCATCAGCTTCTCATACGCACTCGCGGTTGTGACTTATTATGATAAACTTGGAGCAGAAAATAACGGCGTAAACATACCGATGTGGATCAGACCCCGCAGGTGGCGAAGGTTGCAAGAACTCCGACAGTGCTGCGCTCGAGTTCTTCAGCAGTTGGACGGCATCGCTACTGGACAAGGTTCCAGAAGTCGAATTTGGATCATTGCTCAAAGCGAAATTGCTGCCGAGAAAGTGGCGGATTTGAGCGCTGGTGGGTGCTTGTGGGGAGGGTGCGTCGAGGTCTATCATCGCGATGACGAAGGGTCCGGTGGTATCATTGTTGTTTGCGTTGG